GACGAGGACTTTCCGCCGCCGCCGCCGCCAGCCATTGACGACTTTGATTACCTTCCGCCGCCACCGCCGGATTTACTCCAAATTTCGCCGGGGACTGAAAATATTCCTGTCACTCAATACTCGTCTGAGGATCCGCAAGGATCAGTGAACTCGGCCAAACACCTTCTCAGCAAAGAGGCTTACATCAAACAGAGGAGCATGTCTGAGCTGAAACGTCTGTACAAGCACATACATCCCGGCGTGAGGAAAAATATTGAAGAGGAGTTCTACAATGAATACAACGGGACGGTCAACAACCAGCATGTCAGTCAGGCGTACGTGTACGAGGACGAAGCGGACGAGGAATACGAATGGGAAGAGATTCTACCGGGAGATGTGCAGGCCAGGCGGTGGATGTTTGAAAATAAGCCACTCGATGCCATCAAGGATGAATCTCTGGACGGGAATGAAGACAATAACAAGATCACAGAGAAAGAGATGATTCTCGGAATGGACGTGAGGCGCACGGCGTGGATGTTCGAGACAAGGCCGATGGATGAACTGGGGCCGCGCGAGGCCGACTCGATGGAGTATCGGAACAAGGTCAACGAGTTGCACAAGGGAGACGTCCGAGCTGCGGCGTGGTTGTTTGAGACCCAAACGATGGACAGTTTGAATAAGCTGCACAACGAAGAGGAGCTCACCAAAGAGGTGGTATTTACGGAAGAGGACGGGAACGCCACCATTTACATGATTGACACAAAGTACACGCAAGGCCTCGGACACACCGAGACGATCGATGAGAGCCATCTGCTGAGCTTAAGATCGGTCGTGGAAGAAATCAATGATGAGGAGAAAACCGTAACGAGCACCTTTGACACCCGGTTTGAATGCTTCATCATGGGGCAATGCGGTCAGATGCTGGAGATTAAATCTGTGCGCAAAGTTGAAACGGAGCTGGAGAGCTCCATCGCGTCACGTTGGCTTTTTGATACGCAGCCGCTCGATGCGAACAAACCTCTTTCGTCTTTTAAGCTGGTGTGTAGTCTCTCCATGGAAGACACGAACAGAGCGGACTGGGGCCGATGGTTGTTTGAGATCAAGACTTTGAATTCCCTTTCTGAGTTGGAAAGCTCAAAAACTGAGGAGGTAGCGGGGGCGGATGTACGCAAACAGCGCTTAGTGTTTGAAACCCGACCGATTGACTCTCTGAAGGATGATTCAAATGGCACAACTCAGACCGTTAATGAAATCGTCGGGGGTGATGTTAGATCGGCAAGAAACTTCTTTGAAAGCAGCCCTCAAACAGAGAGGAAGAACTGCCCCGAGGTTGGAAAACTTAAAACGGCGCCGCTGAACCAAGAAATAAAAGGTGACGTGAGACATCAAAAGTGGCGCTTTGAGAGTCAACCTCTGGAGCACATACGTGACGAGAAGAAAGAGATAATTCGCACGGTAAACATCGAGGAGGACCTCACACAGGAGGATGGAACAAGTTGCAGAGCAGATGTTCGTAGGAACTGCTGGATGTTTGAGACTCAGCCGATGGACGTCTTAAAAGATGACTCCAATAGCCGGCCCTTGACGAAAGAGGAAATTATTGCCGGCAGTGTGCAATCCGCCAGACAGTACTTTGAAAGCGTCCCAACCGAGGAGCCGAAGGAGCTTGCAGAAGTCGGCAAATTGAAAAAAAACGCGACGCCGGCTGATCAACCGAAGGAGCTCGCCGAGGTTGGCAAACTGAAGAAAGGGGTCGAACTCGATGAGGAGAGGGGAGACGTTCGACTTCAGACGTGGCGATTCGAAAGCCAGCCTTTGGAGCAAATTCGGGATGAAAAGAAGGAAGTCATCCGAACGATCGATTTGGAAGAAATCGACAAAGTGGACGTGTTGAACTATAAGCATATCTTTGAGAGCACAGATTTAAACAGACGGGACGAGTCTCAAAAGATCCAGGTCGAGGGTGTCACAAGCGGCGCGGTGCAATCGAACAAAAACCTGTTTGAGTCCGGACTATCGTACGCCATGCAGGACAGCTCAGGCCGCTTCCACCAGTTAAGAACGGTGCGTCACGAAGAGGTGGTGAGCGGGGATGTAACGACATACAAATGGATGTTTGAAACGCGGCCGATTGACCAATTTGACGAAAGCATTGACAAATACCAAATTATCAAGGGCGTATCCAAGCAGGAAATCGAATCCGGCGACGTGAAGTCTGCCAAGTGGCTGTTTGAGACGCAGCCCCTTGATGCCATCAAGTATTTCAGCAACATCGAAGACGAAGAAATCCAAAGCGAAAATCGAGACGTGATGAAAGGAGATGTCAAAAACTGCAAGTGGCTCTTTGAGACGCAACCGATGGACACCCTGTATGAAAAAGTGGACATAAATAGTGACAATCAGTCTGAAGAAATCCCAAAGGGGGACGTTAAAACGTGCACGTGGCTTTTTGAGACGCAAGCGCTGGACGCCATCCACGACGAGACAGAAACCGTCTTGAAAGCGTGCACTGTGAATCAAGGGGACATCCGAGGGAAAGACGTCAGAACCGCGTGCTTTCTCTTCGAGACGGAAAAACTCGAGACTCTATCCGGGGAGGACGCGAGGTCGTTTCAGCGCGTCACGGAGATTGACATTGCTTCCGGAGAGGTGTCAAGAAAGAAGCACATTTTTGAACGCGGCGCATCCGACATCATGACGTCGACGTCGGAGGAAACGATGCGGCGTCTCAAGAGAGTTCAGAGCGAAGACATTCAGAGAGGAGACGTGGTGACCTGTAAATGGCTCTTTGAAAACCGAGCCGTAGACACCATACGCGACGGCCAAGAGGAAACGCCGACAAGCCGCACGGTTACTGACGTACACGGAGGGGACGTAGGCAAGGGCCGCTTCATCTTTGAGACCTTTTCCTTGGATAGAATTAAGGAAGCGGGGTCTGAAACGGAGCTGTCCGTGACGCAAACCATCGCTCGCCACGACGAAGAGAAGGGTGACGTGAAAAATTACACGATGCTCTTTGAAACTCAGCCTCTTTATGCCATTCGGGACACAAAGGGCTGTTACCACGAAGTCACCACGGTCACCAGCGAGGAGGTGACGCGCGGAGACGTCATCGGAACTCGCTGGTTGTTTGAAACCAAACCCCTCGATGCCATCAAGGACTCGGATGAAGTCTACGTCATCAAATCTGTCACACAACAGGATGAGCAAAAAGGAGACGTCACCTCTGCAAGGTGGAAGTTTGAGACGTGGCCCCTCGATAGGATTTCTGAAGAGAACAGGACAATCGTAAAGACCGTGGATGACATTCAGGGGGGCGACGTCAAAACGAATAAAGACCGCTTTGAATCCGATACGACGTTGCAGGAGTCCGTCCGAACAGTCAACATCAGTGAAATACAAAAGGGTGACGTCAGGTCGGCCAAATGGAGATTTGAGACCCAGTCCATGGACCAAATACGGAGCCTGAGCTCGGAAAACCTGATCGAGACCGTTCAAAAAGAGGAGGTGCAAAAAGGTGACGTGAAGCATTCCGTTTGGCTGTTTGAGAAAAATCCTTTGGACCGCATTAAAGAGGTCGACGAAGACGAGGAGACGCACGACGCCCGAGAGGAAATTGTCAAAGCGGACGTCAAGTCGACAACGTGGCTCTTTGAAACGACACCTTTCGGTGACTTTAACGAGACGAAGACGGAGCGGGCAGAAATCTTGGGCAAGAGTGTCAAGGGAACGCTGGAAGAGCTCTACGGTCAGCAAATGGTGACGTCGAGAGGAATACTCATCGAATCTGACGAAATCGGGGACGTTCGGATGGCAAAATACAATCTAATGAATCAGCGAGCTCCTGAGATTCAGCGGGAGGAGGTGATCAGAGGGGATTTGCACACTGTTATGATGAACCTCCTGAACAGACGGGAACAACGTGGGCGGCAGGTGGTCATTGAGTCGGAAGAGAAGGGGAACGTCACTTCGACGGTGCAACAGCTTTTCAACCGGGAGACCAACAAAAGTATCGAAAAGGAAGAAATCGTCCGAGGAGACATCCAGGAAGCCATCAATAACCTTTTCAAAGAAAGCGGTCCGGTCAAACGCGGACTTCTCATTCAGGAGGATGAGAAAGGCGATGTACGGATGACCATATATTCCCTTCTGAACAAGCAAGATCATGTTAGTATTGAAAAAGAGGGGGTCGTAAGAGGAGATATAAAGCGAACCCTGCAAAGACTCACCAGCCCAGATCAGCCTGATCTGACCAAGAAGATAACTGTCGATGAAACTGAGAAAGGAAACGTCAATTTTTATTCCACGTGCATCGAATCCGGGGACTTGAGTTATCTAAAACGACTCAATTTAGAACCAGATGAAGCGTCACCTGACACTATTGAGAAAGAAAAGATCATCGGGGGTGACATCCGGGGCATGAAAGTCATCCTTAGTTGCAATCAAACGCAAATCGAGCGCACGGTGGACGATATCGTACCAGGCGACGTTCACAACACGGCGAAAGTTTTCATGACGGAGCCCGTCGTCTCGTCGGAGAGTCTCCAAAAGGTGGAGATCGTCAAGGGGGACTTGAAAGCTGCCTTGACTTCACTGTCGGAGTCGGCGAACCATAAAGTTGTTGTGGAGAAAGAGGAGGTTGTGAAAGGCAACGTACCCAAAACGATGCAAAGTCTGGAGAGGGCACAGCATCGTCACGTGGAGATCGAGAAGCCAGATATCATCCCCGGGGACATCAAAGGAGCTCTGAGATCCCTCGAGAAATCGTCGACTTCTCAAGTCGAAGCCACCATGGAAGATCTAGTGTCCGGAGATGTTCGGGCGACGTTAAGATCTCTCGAGATGGCAAAGCAAACGATGCGTGAGGTGGCCAAGGAAGAAATCGTGAGGGGTGACATTCACACAGCACTGCAATGTCTACAAGATGCTGCGTCTGAAAAGAAAACATGTCAGCAGGAGATAATAGTCCAGGGAGATGTGAAAGGAGCAATACAGCTCTTTACGGAACCTCCGTCCTCTCCCGGTGTTCAAAGAAGCTCGATCGTTGAAGAAGAAGAAGTGAAAGGTGACGTCAAAACGTCGATTAAGTCATTATACGAGACACAAGAGCCAACTTTGCTCGAGAAAGAAGAAGTGATAAAAGGTGACGTGAAAGGCACAATGAAATCGCTTATGGAAACGGCACAGCGTGAAACTCCCAAAGGGAAACTCGGCAGAAGAGTCAGAGTGAAGCAGAGGCCTCAAGTGAAGAATTTACATGCCGAGACAGAGAGAAACGCACAAAAAATCAAAAGCGCAATCTCGGCAGGTCGTCAGTCTCTTGCGAATGAAACAAAAACTGTTCAATCCAAAGCTTGTACCGTGGAAAGGAGTGCCGCGCGCTCAAAAATGGTCGTGGAGCACAAAACCATAACGCAAAGTCACGGCATCAAAACATTGAAAACAGAATTCTGCAATCTGAAGCCGAAGGGAATGACGCGGTTGAACAAAACAAAAGTGCAAACTGACGTTTACACCCCGAAAATACAAGCGCCGGAACCCGATTTGCCTCTTCCTCCTCCGCCTCCACCCGTAGTAGACATCGACCTTCTTCTTCCTCCTCCTCCTACACCACCTCCCCCATGTTCGGATCCTGATGTTGATCACCTCCCTCCTCCGCCGCCACCGGCTACCAATGAGCAGGACTTACTCCCACCGCCATCACCACCACCGCCGCCGCCGCCACCAACACCACCTCAGAGAGAACAAGACAGAATACCAAAACAAGCGCTTTGTGCATCACCAGCAGAGGCCCAAAAGATGCTGGTAAAGAAAGTCAAAGTTCCCACTTTGTGTCCTGTCTCAAAGCTTGAACCTCAAATGGAAACGCAGCACACAACCGCGGTCAGCCAGTCCGCAACCACGAAACAAACCTCGAAAACAACCGAAGTCCCGCCTCCCCCGAGGAAAGTTTGCATCTCCCCTGTCAGATTCACCCCGCCTCCTTCCCCTCCTCCTCAGACGAGAGGGAAAACAAGTAAATTCAACACCCCGTTAATAAAAGCGGAAGAAAAGTACCGCAAGCAGAAAGAGGATAGCACTCCCCCAACCACTCCGACTCCACCTTTTCTGAACGACTCACTTGCGGCGGCTCTTCAGGTAACGGCCACTGAAGACGTCCAGCGAACAAATCGCATGCCCGAAATCAAACAGGCCGCATCTGAAAATGAAGATTCGCTGCTGAATTCCGACTCCTCGTCATGTGATGCATCCAAGCAGGTTGTTTTCTCCAAAACTGTTCGGGGCGATGCCAGCACCAGTCACGAAAGAATCCTCACAGGGTCTGCCACAATATCATCTGCCAAACAGGAAATGCTTTCTAATGAGACGTCTGAGGTCGTCTCCGTTCCAAAGAGCTCTTCCGTCACTGCCGTGAGACAAACTGCGCACACCAGACAGAAAACGGCTTCGCTTTCCTCCCGAGTGTCGACTCAAGCTGTCACTTCTGACCGCATTCACACTCCAGTCACTGATTTGACAAAAGCTGAGAAAAGAACTGCTGTCGAGAAGAAAGATGTGAAAAAAGGGAACGCAAAGGCATCGGATAGAACGAGCGCGGATCATTCAAGAGGCCTTGTTAAAATGGCGAAACCTGAACAAAATTATAAGAAATCCCAATCGCAGTCCGAGAGAGACAATCAATCCGTCATCGAGAACAGGGCCGCCGTCTTTGATGAAGTGAAGCGAACGGAAAAAGCAGAAGCTATTGGGACTTGGGCGACTGGCAAAACAAATCAAAAGGTCAAAAAGGACAATAAGCAGGAAAAGCAGGTTGATGCAAAGATGGAAGAGGAGCGAAAGGCACAGGTGAAAGTGACCAATTCCACTGAGCCGAGAGTAATCGGTGAGTCGAGAGAGATCAAGACCGAATCGAAGCGGGTGACACCCGATGATGTCGCCACCAACGTAACTGACAGTCAAGCGGCAACTTTGGCACCAAAGAAGAAAAAGAAGTCGAAAAAGTCGAAAGGGGCGACACAATTGAGTCAAAGTAAAGACGCCGGCACGGAATCAAAGACGGCCATCGTGGAAACGTTCAACGAAACGGAGGAAACGGTTCTTGTTTCCCAAATTCACACGAGTGCCACAGACGAGAAAGTTCAAGAAGCCTCGATGACAAAAAGCAAAGCGGGTGAGACTTCCCAGCAAGTAAAAGCACATCAGGATAATCTGAAGGGATCGCCAAAAAAGACAGCAGTGACAGTTACTCACAAAAGCGCGCGGACGGCGCTGGAGGAAAGTCGCACGGACCCAATGAAAGAGCCGTTTGAGTCACAACAAAATGAATCAGTGGGAATGGCGGAATCTCCGAAAAAACGGCTGTCGGGCTTAATCCCTCACATCACGGGCATGAAAACGGTTTCGAAAACGAGGCTTGGCACGTTTTCAGATTGCCTCACGATCCCGGAGCGGCCTCAAAAATCGGCGGGGTCGGTCCCAGAGACCAATCGAGCTCCAAAATCTGACGGGAAGGAGAAGCATGAATCGGAATCTCTTGCGGCGTGGACGAATATTTCCAACACGGGCATCGGCTCTTCAAAAGTCGAGAGGCAAACAACGAACGAAATCTTAAATGAAAGCAGGAAAGAGAAACGAATTGAGCTTCGATCTCCCTCGCCGTCCCTGAGAACCCGATCCCCCTCGCCGACATTTATCACCATAGAATCCGTTCGTAGGATGGACTCGCCGCAGAGAGTCACCCCCTCACCTACGCTGCTCCACCGGCCCGCCACACCCCCGACGCCGCCGCCGCGCCGCTGCGACACCCCGACGTCCCGCCTGATGAGAATCACTCCCTCCCCGACGTTCGACCGCGCCGAGAACCTGCCGCGGCTTAAAGACGCGACGGCCAAGCTCTCGCGCGGCGTCACCCCGCCGCCGTTAATCTCTCCGCAGCCGATATCCGAGAAGAAATCCGAAATCGTGGAAACCCCCGCGTCATTCCATCGGCAAATCAAACTCGAGGCCGTTCACAGCTCAGATGAGCCGCCCGCAAAGAACGCACTCGAGACGATCGAACGCGCTACAGACGACGGAAATGAAACCCCAAGTAATTCCGACATCAACCCGCCGCTTCGTCACGACGTCACTGACGATACCTCCGAGTTAGCATTGGCTTCGTTTCAAGAACGGAAGGCGTTTTTTGAAGAGGCCCAAAAGGCCGAAAGCAAGAAATTTTATATCCGGAAAGAACCGATCGCAATCCCCGAACGACTCGGCCCAGAGTCGGAGGATAGCGATGAGGAAAATCTGTGGAAGCAAAAAGAAGATCCACCCAAAGCGGATTTTTCAGCTTTCGTCAATCAATTTGAATCAACGGATAAAACAGCGATCAGCAAGGAGCTCCGCCCACTTGCGGAGCGATTTCCAAACCACAGCGAAGCTTGCATCTCGGAAAGGGCGTTGCCAGCTTTTGACATTCGGGCGCTGAAGAATGTTTTTGAAACGGGTGAGCAAAAACTCTCGTTAGACGAGCGGAAAGGAGTTCGGGAGGAGCCGGCGTCAAGCCGACGGGAAGCATCAGTCGACACATCAAAGCTGGAGAGTCCTCCTGAGATGCAGGGAGGCTTAAAGCGAAGCTCTGCCCTTCCTCCTCATGAAAATCTGCTCGAAATTGTCCGGACAGATCCATCAGCCCCTTCTGAGAGCAAATCAATCACAGAGCATTTCTCAAACGTCGATGTCCTGGTGAGCAAGGTCACGACGACAAGTGTCAGTCAGCAGTCTGGCAGCGCGTCAAGACAGCCGGCTCCTTTCTCCTATGCTGACGCGGTGAAAAGGAAAGCGGCGGCGCCGAGGCCGACGCAAACCTGCCGTGCCGAAGACGCCGGCGAGAAATTGCGGATGAACGTTCGGCAGACCCGCAACGAGAGCGAGGCGGTTTTCAAAAGCGTTTCGGACGTGACGACGTCACAAGCGGCGTCTCATCGGACAACCGCTGTCTCCGGTAAAGAATTTGGGACGCATGAACAGTGAGGAAACGCTGAGGCAGGCATGGGTGGAAAATGTGCTTGTGCTTTGTGGAAAAAAAAAACTAAACAACAACTGACTAACCAAATTATGTGGACTGCACATTTATTTCATCCTCTGATTAGGATTAGATACTGATCCCGTAAGATATCGTCACACATCGTGGGCAGATTTCGATCCATTTTTGGTTTGCTTAGTCACGTCGTTTTTAGCACAACTAAATAATCCCACGAGTAATAGAAGGTTATCATAGTTTCGGAATTGTCATCATAGTTGTTTTTTTTTTTCTTTTTGAGTTTTGTTTTTCAAATGTAAGTAGTTTTATTCAATTTGTGTTTGTTTTTATTAGTTTTAGTATTCATTTTAGTTTTAAATAATTTTTTTTTGTCAATTTCATGTGTGCAAGATTTATATAAAAAACAACAAAAAAATGGTCAGTATTGTGCCAGTAAAAACTCAACCAAAATATTATTTTCAAATCATTTAAAAAAACAATCATCCACAAATCAAATACGCGGAGCGTATAAACTGTCCACGGACTTTGAAAGTTTGATCAGCGCAGTGTGTAAAAGTGCTTATGATGTGAGATGCTTCACAACTCGAAGGCCTTGTATAAATCTCGCCTTTTAAATCAATCGACAAGGAAGAGAATGACGGACATTTTCGCTGTAATGACAATTCGTTTGAATGACATTTGTAAACATTTTCAGTTCGTCCCTGTTTTTAAAAAGCGTTTTCATTTTGGGTTTCGTTCGTTTGCGAAAATTATTTTTGGATTTTTGATTTTGTTATTGGGCAACCTTGAGTCGGTTAAAATTACAAGCTAGGTGACCTTACACAAAGCTAGTTACCCTCCTACATAGGGTATGGTCGTGTTTGTTTTGTTTTCGTGAGACATCCTAGCCTATTTTGCATTTTGTTGAAATTTGCAGACCAGCCCCGCATGTTTTGCTATGCATGTTCTCAGAACGTCGCTCAAACACAAATTCGACTGAACAATGCTGGCCGACAATTGAAAGAGTCTCCCGTTTTGTTTTTGTTTCACCCTCCGCCTCCTCCCCAACAGGCTCGAGTTCCCAAGTCGGAGCTTTGCGCAGTGTGTCGAAGGAGGGTTTACCCGATGGATGGATGGATAGTGGACCGAAAAAAGTACCATAAGTCCTGTTTCTTCTGTGAGCAATGCAAAAGCAAACTAAGGTAATAAAAAAAAAAATACGGCGGTCCTCAAATGACACGCTTCATGCCGCGCTGAATGGAAGATAACCGTTTGTCTCTCGCAGCCTGGGAAATTACGTCTCTCTCCACGGACACTTCTTCTGTCTGCACCACTACAAACAACTCCTCAAGTCCAAAGGGATGTACGATAACCAACTCTGCCCCAAAACTCCCGCAGCAAGTGGAGGATCCATCCCACCAGACCGGAAACTCGAATGGAGATATTCGGCAAGCAGCCTCAGTTCAGTTGACAGGAACAAAACGCAGCGCGGTGAGATCGAAGCGACAAAAGCATTTGATGAGAGCAAAGCGCAGGGCAGCAAAATATCGGTGGTTTGGCCCCCGCAGGCCGATTCCCCCCAAAAAGCCTTTACAATAGAGGAAGACATTCAACGAGCCAAAGCACAGTGGCCCCCGCAAGACGATTCGCCCAAATTCATCCAACAGCAACACGGAGAGACAGTTCCAAGAAGTGTCTTGTAAATTCATTCCCCATCAGTCGAAAAAAAATACTTGCGCTAAGCTCCAATGAAGGAAATAAATGAGAGAAGAAGTTAAATGAATGAAAGGATGAGAAGTACGTTGTTCCGAAGCAAGGATGCTAAGTTGCGTTCGCGGCTAAGCACGCGCAAGTGTTGAAAGCTGGAGGATGCGGACGTGACAAGATTCGTTATATGTTTGGATTTTTGATCATGCTGAAATAACTTATGAATAATAATTGGCAGGCATGGCCAAAATCGATTTTTTTACGGCTGTGGCGATTGTGAAATTTGATTTTCCTCCGAATCAACTGAACCCTTTCATGCACCCGGTAACCTGATAACATGATAAGCCGTCCACTATCGTGACCACTGTCCCTGAATCAGTTAATCTCTCCATATATGGATCCAATGAGTTTCCTTCCATCCTGTGGATTAAAAAAAAAAAAAAAATATATATATATATATATATATATATATATATATATATATAGGAATTGTGCTTTGTATCTCTATTTGACAGTTCAGTCTCGGTAAAACTATAATCACATGCAGTTTCTTTTTTTTCTTTTTTTTGGGGATTAGCAGAATATTTTGGCACCTGGTGTGCAGGCAACTAAACGAAATAACAAATTATTTTCTTTATTCAAGTGTACATTATGTCCAATCCAAACTGGTGAAATGAATACAGTTGTATCCCATTTTTAACAAACCTATTTTGCAAATACAGGAAAAGTTGTAATTTTTAAATTTGACAAAAATAGAATTTGTCGTCTGTTCCTGAATTTGTCGAAGCGTTCAGGCTGGTTCAGTTACAATATTGTTCATCAAAAGGCAATAAATGTTTTGTTTTGTTTTGTTCTCTTTGTGTCCTGTTGGATTTTACTTCTGTGTTTCCATGTATGGCTTCAAATGTGAGTCTCTGTTTTATATCTTTGCAATGCTGGTCTATGCAGCTCATTCGGCGCTCTGCAATTCACTGATAGATCAACAGTCCAGTTACATCCCTTGTAAAACGACAACCTGTTGAAAATCACAACCTACTGAAAAATAGCTTTGCGGACATTGCAGGGGCTGCCTGACGAAAGATTTGACCTTTTTACAGCCATTGCATAACATTCCACTTCTTTGACTAAATATTCTTTGGTTGCATTCACAGGACACTTGAGGCCATTGTCCATCTCCACTCTGAAGCGCTGTCTAAGGAGTTCGAAAGTATCATTCAGATGCTTTTGAGAACGGTCACATCATCGAGAATTAGTAGCCAACCCTGAATACTTACGTTCAGTTCCCAATTTATCATTTCTTGTTCAAAATGAGAAAACACAGAGGGCCCCTGGTAGCCTACATGAGTAGATTGCCAACCTAAATATAGCTCAACAGTGATGGGACATTGTGATTTTCTAGGAATGTTGTAGAAGTGATCAGTTTCAACATGTAAACATTGGCAGAATCAAAACCAGAAGCTCAGAAGTGAGAGGCAGACCCGCTAACTACGAGCCCACTTCCAACATTATGTCAACAAACATTTTCCCCTCTTCAGGAATGCAAGTGAACTAGAAGTTGACATGATTATGTGATGTACAATTTTTCAAGGTTTCCTCTTTTCAGCCAAACACATTTGAAAATGCGACAATAGTATTTTATTTTATTTTAAAAATATATTTTCACTTAAATAACTTCTACAGAAAGAAAAAAAAATAACACCGGTGCCATGAACCCTTATATTGCGTGTTGCTTTCATAAATTTGTTTAGGATCTGCATTATTTAAAAGATGGAATAGCACGCCGTCAATCTACCTTGCTGTCTGAACTGTCGGGGGCGGGTCTTACCGCTGGCGCCGCGAGACGATTGGCCGAGCGCTCTGCGGCTCTCCACGTCGATTGGTCGACGTTGCCTACGTCAACAGGGGGTGCTGCTCACAATCGTGTTTTTGTCAGCGTGACAAGCGCGCTGCAGAATGCTGTAGTGTGTGTCCAGGATGAGCCGCGCCGTGTAAAGGATGGAGCCGCGATGGGCTGAGGTAGGTACGGCGAAACATGCTCGCTTCATCATCGCAATGTGTCATGATCTCACATTGGTTTTTCTTTCAATCGCGGGTGTGAATTGTCCTTGCTGTCTGTGGACATTTATTTCCACGGGAGTTTCCCACGCGCGCTGCGATCTTTTTCCATTTTAATTGCCCTATTGTCATTGATGTACACTTGGCTCAGTCCCACCGATGCTGCGTGGGAAAGGCTGTCAGTATCTCGGTGCACTTCGTGAAACGAGCAGGTTCGGAGCTGAATAATGAGGGAAGCTGAAAGTTGAGCCAATCAGTAGCAAAACTTTAACAGACATTGCGATTCATTCATTTGAAATGTTGTCATGTGATTAGATGGCTATTTTCACGCTTGTATTGTGTTCTGATATTATTTTATCATCAAATTGAGCGGCGCGGTTGGACAATTGGGCATCACATCCGCTTCACATTTTCTGTCTTGAGGTTGAGGGTGCGAAACCAGAGTTCCACGCTGTCACGGTGCTTTTGTGGATTTTATCGGAGTATTCCAAAAACATGCATGATATATATAAAGTCAGCAGGGAAAGGCTCCAGATCACTCAAGAGCATAATGAGGATATGCGGTACCCATAATGGATGGATGGTTGAATTTCCCCTTCAGGGATTATAATGAGTCCAATAATACTATTAATAATAAATCCCCCCCGCCCCCACCGACCCCC